AATGCATAGTCAACATTCCAACTAGTAACCCATGTCTGTCAGTGCTTTTTCTCATATTGTTGTTGTGGTGGTGGTCGGGTGCCATAGATTCAGCTCCAGCCCACAGCAATGAACGAAACACGGCACCATCCTGCACCAGCCTCACTGCTGCTCTGATGCCCGAGTTCATTATTGCAGCCGCTGTGTCAACCATCTTTTCTAGGACATTTCCTCCTTTTTGCCGCCTCTCCACTTCACCAAACATGACGGCCTTCTCCAGGGACTGGTCTCCCCTGATATGTCCATAGTATGTAAGATGAGGTCTTGCCCTCCTTGCCTCTAAGAAGCACTCTGGCCTTACTTCTTCCAAGACAGATTGGTTTGTCATTTTCTGTGTCTGTGGTACTTTCACTATCCTTCTCCAGCACCACAATTCACATGCATCGATTCTTCTATGGTCTTCCTTATTCAATGTCCAACTTGCACATGCAGATGTTGCCATGGAGAATACCATGGCTTGGGTGAAGAGCACCTTAGTTCTCAAAGTAAAACCCTTGCTCTTCAATATGCTAAAGAGGTCTTGTGCGGCAGACCTACTGAATGCAGCACATCTCTTGATCTCTTGACTGCTACCTTCTTGAGTATTGATTATGGGTCCAAGTAAGAAAAAATCCTTGACAATTTAAACTTTTCTCCATTTATCATGATGATAACTATTGGTCAAAGTTGTGAGGATTTTGGTCTTCCTTACCTTGAGTTGTAATCCATATTGAAGGCTGAAATCCTTGACCTTCATCATCAAGTGCTCTAAGTCCTCCTCATGTTCAGCAAGCAAGGTTGTGCATCTGCATACCTTGGGTTGGTAATAATCCTTCCTCCAATTCCGATTCCACAATCTTCTTCACATAATCCAGCTTCGCTGATGATTTGCTCAGCATATAGATTGAACAAATATGTCAAGAGGCTACAACCTTGACACACACCTTTCCTGATTTTAAACCGTGCAGTGTCCCCTTGTTCTATTTGCATAACTGCCCCTTGATCCATGTACAAGTTCTTCGGGAGCACAATGAACTGTTCTGCAATTTTCATTCTTCTCAATGTTATCCACAGTTTATTATGGCCCATATACAAATGCCTTGGCACAGTCAATAAAGCACAAGTAAACATCTTTCTGATATTCTCTGCTTTGAGTCAAGATCCATCGGATGTCAACAATGATACCCCTTGTTCCATGTCCTCTTGTGAATCCAGCATAAATTTCTGGCAGTCCCCTATTAATGCATTGCTGCAATCATTGTTGGATGATCTTAAGCAAAATTTTACTTGGGTGTGATATCACTCCATAGTGTGACCGTTCTGTTGGTTTCCTGTCTTTGGAATGACCACAAATGTGGTTCTCTTACAATCAGTTGGCCGGGTAGCAGTCTTCCAGATTCCCTGGCTTGGTGAGTGAGTGCTTCCAGTGCTTCTTCAGCTTCTGAAGCAATTCAATGGGTATTCCATCAATTCCTGGAGCCTTGCTTTTTAGCTAAACATTCAATATTTTGTCTATTTAATCTCATCTTAAGTACCTTCAAAACTGCGGGCAGGGCTTAGCTGCTGGTACTATATTGTACTTTGTTCCCTTGCTAGCCATAGGTTTTCACTGACTGATTATCTTTAGATGTCGATCATTGGGTTCTTCTCTCGAGTAAGTCTTAAACTGGAGGCTCCACTAGCGCCTGTATCAAATGGGTGACCTTAGTGTTATTTGAAATACCAGTGGCATAACTTCCTGCATCATAGCACCATGCAAACTACTCCAGGATACTGAAATGATAGGTGAGAGACTCCAGATAACCCTTGATTAAAATTTGCAAGTGTTGGCAATGTGCTTCCAAATCACACTTCAGTACTTTTACACATCTGTAATATTTTTCAAGTTCTATTAGCACTTTTAAACCCATTTAAAGGCCTTAAATGCATTCACAAAATGTTTGAAAGCATGGTCCTCTTGCTTTAAACAGAAAGAGGAAATAACAGTGGGATGAATAAGGAGAGCCAGCCAGACAAGATTAATGTATCCTGTAAAGAAGATGTAAACTTATTTTACCTTTCTGGATAATTCATAAAGGTAAACTATATTGGAGCTTTGGCAAGTATTCAAGTACAGCTAATAGTAAAATGGAACTGTGAAGAAGGAAATGGTCTTTGTAGATAAAGGAGAAAGGGGATTGGGATTAGGTGGAAACTGACTCAGAAGAATTGGCATCACAGAGAACAAACACTTTAGAGTTAGGAAGTGGTACAATCAGCAGTAAGAAGTGTTTGGCAATGTGCAGAGTGGCGTTTTTCATATGCATTGTCTTACTTTATCCTCATGGGTGTTCTGATAATGCATATGAAAAACGACACTCTGCCCATTGACAAACACTTCTTACTGCTGATTGTACCACTTCCTGACTCTACACTGATATTCATTTTGCATATAGGGAGACTGAGGCCGTAAGCAGATTAGCTACATGACTTGCCCATTGTTTGCCAGCTGGAAGCGGAGACCTGGCGTCGGATTCGGAATGCTGACACTTTCATTGTGTTCGTGGCGCTGCTTTCTGCCGCACGTTGACAGAAACTGGAACGCGGAGAGGCAGTCTTTTTTGGTGGTGGTGAGAGTTGATCGGGCCCAGCTGAGCAAAGGAATGGAAGAAAGATGGTACTAAGAACCAGTTACCCCATGAGAGATGTGGATGAACGGAGTAGGGGACTCTCTGGGCAGTCAGAAGTCTAGACTCCTGCTAATCCCTCAGGAGCTGGACTACATTTGAGGACCTGTATCTGCCTGTTTTCCCCTTTGATAGTTGTCCAGATTTGCATATACTATCTTTTTCTTGCTCCTGATACAGGACCTAAAGGAATTCTTTCTGATAATGTATCAGTGAGGATATCGTGCAAGAGAACCAGAGAAAAAGGCATTGCTTTGGAGTGGGATGTGGGTCAGTTCCCAGAGAGCTGTTATCCCAAAATCCGAAGGGCCCAGCGTGCAGCAGAAGTGTGAGAGAAACCAGGGACCCATCTATTCCTTCACCATAGTTGATCTTTAATGTTATTCTATTTACCTGTTCTTAAAATTAGGACAATTAAATGTACTGTCCACTTTAGACGTAAAGATCTGACTACAAAAAATAGCTGAATACTTACTCTTTTTTAATTAACTATGTTCTCTAATCCTGAATTTCTATGGGCTTTGTGACCTTGAGCAAATCCGCTATCCTATCTGAAACCTCACCCTACTTAACTCACAGAATTACTGTATCACGATGCATGCAACAGTATTTTCCATCGGTATGTGTTTGTTAGCTGTTCATATTCTCGTTGGTGAAATACCTACTCAGCCCCTCCGCCCCTGTTGGTTTGGGTTGTTGTTTAACAGCAGGATTTGTTTCTTTATGTCCTTGGCCATTTTTCTTGTTAGATGCTTTGAGTTGGTTCTGATTCCTAGTGACCCTGTGTACAACAGAACAGAGGGCTGCCCAGCCCTGTGCCAGCCTCACGATCGTTGTTTGAGACCACCCTGGCCGCCACGGTGTCACTCTCTCGTGTGACGGCTCTTCCTGTTTTTCACTCGCCTTATACTTTATGCAGCATCATGTGCTTCTCTCGCGACTGCTCACTCCTGATAACATGCCGAAAGTTCGCGAGACAAAATCTCACCATCCGTGCTTCAAAGGGGCATTTTATCCGTCTTTCATCCAAGACACATTCACCGTGTATACTCGTGTACGTTTTCCAGCACATTTTTAATGCAGTTTTTGTGGTAAAATTAGGTGCCTCGGCTGATATTCGGGTGGGCTTATACTCAAGAATAGACGGTATCTGTTTTCCTGGAAGTTCAGGGTACTTTCAGTATTCTTTGGCAGCACCATAATTCAGGTGTCTTCATTTAGTCTTCCTTCTTTGCTATGAGGTGACTGAAAGTCCCCGGGCTTGGTTAAGTGCACCTTTTCCTTCACGCTGACATCCTTTCCCCTGTCACACTTGGAACAGATCTTTCACAACACATTTTCCCAATGCAATATGTTGTTTGATTTCCTGACTGGTGCTACCATGACTATTGATTGTGGATCCAAGTAAAATGAAAACTGTACCAATTTAAATCTTGTCTTGCTTTATTCTGTTGTTATTTATTGGTCCACGTGAGAATTTTTTGTCACCTGGGAAATGCAGATCAAAATTACCATGAGATAATCCTGCATCTCCACTAGGATGGCTAAAGTACAGCAAACAAACAAACCAAAACGGAGAAAAAGTAAATGTTGTTGAGGATGCGGAGAAATTAATATTCTCAACCACTGCCGCTGGGAATACAGAGTAGTACCGCTGTAGAAACCAGTGGGGTGGTTCCTCGTGAAGTTAAAACAGGAGAACCCTACTGCCCAGCAATTCGTTCTTACTTCACTTTCAAACCCACGTGACTTGAGAGCTGCAGTGTAACCAGGCACATGTACCCCAGTGCTTGTTATAACATCATTCACAAAGGGTGAGCCCAGCCCAAATTGCCCATCCATGGATGGATGGATAAATCAAACGTAGTATATATTTGTACATACAAGGTAGGATTGAAGTGAAGTCATGTTACGGGTTAGAGCATGGATCATGCTGAATGAAGTAAGTAAATCAATCACCAAAGGACACGTGTGACCTCATGAATATATCTACAATGGGAAAAGGTACACAGATGAGACGTGAACAGTGATTACCAGGGGCTGGAGTCTATGGAAGTCATTGTTTGGTAGCAGTGAGTTTCTGTTTATGATAACAGTCATGGATCGGGATGGATAGAACTGCTGCCACCAAATATTATATTTGAAAATGTTAAACTGGAGAATGTTGGATTATATCTATTTCATCAGCAGTGACAATGAGAAAGAGTTAAAAGCCAAGTGTTTTCCAATAAAATACTTTGCATTTACAGTCACTGTTTTTTCAAAGGATTTGGAAGGTTTTCTTTTTTATAGTAACTGCTTCTGCTTTTCCTTCAGAGTCGAAAACATGCCAGCAAAGTCCGACTCTATTACATGCTTCACCCCAGGGATGGAGGTTGTCCCGCCAAGAGGCTCCGGTCAGAAAACGTGAGTAGCCAGCACCATGTGGCATCCTTTGACTGGTTATTCTGCTGAATTGCTAATAACTTTTCAGGTTAGAAATTGTAGTCATCCTCAAGTTCATGGTAAAGCTGAGTCTAAATAGAGGTCTGCATTCTATTTGCAACCCATCAGACTGGATCAAAAGAAGAGTATTTGCTCGGGGTTGGAAGGCAGCAAGGGATAGGAAAGAAGAGAGATGGGAAATGGTAAACACAGGAAGTGGGAAGAGTGCTGTTCCAGTGTGAGGACTGCAATCGATGTCACAAAGCAGAATGCTCATGAATTATTGAGTGGAAGACCAACGTGCTGTGTAAACTTTCACCCAAATCACAGCACAAAGTGGAAAAAGAAGGCTAAAGTGATAATGGGGAAATTACAGAAAATATTACAAGTAACCTCATCCTTTTGTTTTCCTTCCTGCCAGAGTTTGGCAGCCTAGCATTCCTGGGTGTTTACATGATGTGTTGCCAGGAGAGCGTGTGCAGAGGTGCTAGGAGAGAGACAGCAGCCCTTAGAAGACCAGGTGTTAAAAAAGCAGGACCTAACGGCTCCATCCAGTCTGTCAAAATAATAACCCTTTTGATTTTTTTACCTATTTTCTTTTTCCTTTGGCATGTAAATGAAAATATGGATTTGTTCATTGATAATGAAAAGTGTACATGCTTTGCAAATACGCAGGCTGTTTGATCAGCACCTCCTGTGTCTCAGGGATCTTTCATCTGGAAAATGGCTGACAATTAGAAAGTTGCTTTGACGGTATGGAGTCGTAGCAAAGGGTTGATTTCAGCCACACTAAGTCTGCACCTTCAAGCAAACAGACTCACAAGATGAGGGCACTTCAAAAAGTTCAATGGAATTAAAAGATAAGGCAACAGCTGATAAACTATAGATTCCTTGCTCCCAGCAAGGGCTACTTTTTCTAATGACTGGAATATTCATCTCCAGAGGCTCTTCATGATAAACACTGTGGATGAACACAGGAATCCTTCGCCGTTGAGTTCTGAGTTGGCCCCAGGTGTAGGATTTATGCCCCATGCTCTCTCCCATGTCTTGTGATTCTGCTTTCCTTCTGCTGCCACATCGATGCCGGTCTGCCTTTCTGATGAAAAATGAGCACACGATCTCCATGAAATGTTACAAAGCCCAGACTAGAGTATGGCTCACGGGGCAAAGAGAGAGAGTGAGGGAACTGCATGTGACTCAGGGTAGTGACCTTCAGGGCTAATGTTTGTAAGGGATTCCCAGGTGTGCCTCTTAGCATCACTAAAGGATCTGTCTGGAACACCCTCTGAGCTTGCTTTCCTGCCTTGATGCAGCTGCCTAGAGCTTGTTGGAAGCAAACAATGTCATGAAAATGTTAACAAGATTTTGATCTGAGTCTGGTTCTGTTATCTAAGTGCTTTATGACCTTGGGCAAGCCATTAATCATCAGTTTTCTCAACCAAACTATTCTCACTGCCATTGAGTTGAGCCAGACTTATAGCAACGCTAGGAGCAGAGAAGAATTGCAGAATTGCCCCTTCATGCTTACGAGACTTTAAATTCTTAAGGGAATTAAAACCTCTTCTTCCTCATTGGAACTACTGGTGGATTCAGAACTGCTAACCTTCGGGTGGGCGACCCAAGGCGTAACCCACGCCACCACGAGAGCCCCCATCTCTCTAAATCAGCTCCAGTAACCACACATTCCCCACTGGCCCTTTGCAAAGATTCCGTGAGACGAGAGCTCTGCTGTGCACAGTTATGTGCCAGGCACCAGGGACATTGAGGGTCTGCACCAAGGGTCTGCACCTTCAAGCAAACAGACTCACAAGATGAGGGCACTTCAAAAAGTTCAATGGAATTAAAAGATAATGAAACATTCCATGGACTTTTTGAAGCCCTGTCCTAAGGGGGAGGTTACTTTTTGCCCAGTAAAAAATAGCAATGATCTAACAATATAATGCTGATTAACCTTTTGTAGAAAATACCATGAAAACGAAAGACTTCCTGAGTTATGCGGGAAGAGCCAGCAGGGAAGACTTCACTGAAGAGTGGGCCTTTGAGTTGGGGTCTCGGGGGGTGGATGGACTTTTACCAGAGGGGGAAAGTGGGCTAAAGGAGAAGGGTACTCATTTGTTGGGTATATTCATGTCAAGAAAATGTATTAAGATATAGGAACCTTGGCCTGAGCCAGCATTTATATAATTCATGGCCCAAAGCTACACTGACGTTTTCCATAAGTAAATGAGTGGTCTTTTGTGTTGCTGTCCCTTGAAGTTATCTAATGCTGGCATCTGTAGCCATTTGGCCAATAGCCATGAACCATCTTATCCTAAATAATAAGGTTCATGGCCACTCAAGAATTAGCTACTTGTATACTAATTATTTTCTACTCATGTTATAATCATGACTGTTGTACTATTTTTTATTTTTATTTTATTAGTTCCTAGAGAGCTGGGTGGTACAAATGGTATACAGTTGACTATTAACCTAAAGGCTGGTGGTTCAAATCCACCCAGTGCCATCAAGAAAGAAAAGGCTGGTTATTGTCTTTCAGAAAGATTACAGCCAAGAACATCCTATAGAACAAAATTCCACTTGGATTCATGGGATCACTATGAGTTGGAGTCAATACTATGGCAATAGTTTTTTCTGGTTTGGTTTTGGATGATGAGCAGAAAGGGATACTGGGGATACAGTTGGAATTATATTTGTAGGGACATCGGGATATGGTGGTTATGGCTGCTTGGGATAGACCTGTGACTCAGCTACTCAGAGTCTGTTCCTGTCAGTGACCTTGGGGACAGTTTGGGGAAAGGAAGCTCTTTGGGTTTTAAAAGCAGGGGAGGGTGAGAAGACCCTTCTACTTGTTCCTACGTTTTGAAAGTGTTTGGTTTTGGTATAACTTATTAGGCATAGTATTTGAAAAAAATCAGTAAGTGATAAAAGCAACATAATTTTGTTGAAAGGGCTACTGTTCTTAATTAGGGTTGATGCACATTCATGAGTGAATATAACAGTTCCCTTAGGTCTTTTCATATATTGGTCAAGTGCACATCCTCTGCCCCTTCTAGGGTTCTGATATTCTTTGTAGAGAATTATTGGGATCAGCCATCTCCTCTACAGAGTAACACACTTGTGTGTTGTCAAATGGGAAGGATGATAATAATATCTCATTTACATGTTTACCATAAGGCCCAACCGAAAACCCGAAAAATCAAGCCTTTTACCACAAGTTGATTTTGACTCTTAGTGCGCTCCAGGACCGAGCAGAATGGTCCCAGAGGGTTCCAAGACTTTAATCTGCGGAAGCAGACTGCCACATATGTATCTCGTGGAGTGGCTGGTGGGCTCGATCTAATGACCTTATGGTCAACAGCTGATCTCATTAATCACTGTCACTAGGACCCCCAAGGCCCAACGGAGATAACTCATAATTGTTAAGCATTTTATTTTCAAAATACTTTGCACTTCCGTTATTAATATGTGTGCTACCTCTACTCTTGAAAGGATAAAGAGCTTCCACACACCTTTGTGTTCTTACCCACAATCCCACACTTCAACACTCCTTACTACCGGAACCTGTGCCAAATTTGCTTCCCACTGTTATTTGAGAGAAAATTGTTTTCACGTGTGTCTTGGAAATTCAACAAATGAATGACTTCTGATAACAGAAAGCCCATTCTTGGTTTTGAATGCCCCATTTTGGTGATGTTACTGGGGAAGCATTGGACCACTAGCTACAAGGTGAGCAGTTCACATCCACCAGCCACTCTGTGGGAGGCAGATCAGGTTGATGTCAAAGCCTGGGAAGCCCTAGACAGGGTCATGATGAGTCATAATTAACTTGATGTTTGTGCATTTGGTATTTGGCTTTATCACATATGAGGAAGCCCTGGGTGGTGTAAATGATAAATGTGCTTTGACTATTTCTTGAACGGTTGGTTGTTCAAGTTCACCTGCCAGTATCTTTGAGGAAAGGCCTGGATATCTAGTTATAAGAAATCAGCCTTGAGAATCTTGAGGCGCATACACTTGGTTCTACTCAGACACATGCACTTGCCTTTAGTATGAGTCAACTTGATGGCAACTAGTTTGTCTTTTGATATTTTTTTAATCGTTTTATTAGGGGCTCATACGACTCTTATCACAATCCATACATACATCAACTGTGTAAAGCACATTTGTACATTCATTGCCCTTGTCATTCTCAAAACATTTGCTCTCCACTTAAGCCCCCCGGCATCAAGTTTTCATTTTTCCCCTCCCTCCCTGCTCCCCCCTACCTCATGAGCTCTTGATAATTTATAAATTATTACTTTGTCATATCTTCTGTTCACCAAAAACAAAAACATAAGCAAAACAAACGCGCTGCCATCAGTCAATTCTGACCTTTGACCCTATTGTGCTGTTCACAATGGAAAGGGCTGGTGAGGACTGGCAGCACCCCTTGGTTCTCAGCCCTCAGGGGATGTGTGCTATCGTTGCAGTGTGCCCACAAGTCAATCCCAACTCCTGGTGCCTCTACAGAATGGAATGGAATTGACCCGAGGGTATCCAAGTTGTACATCTTCACAGAAGCAAGCAGGTTGCACTTGTTTCCCAAGAATGAAGGACAAGTAGTGGGTTCACACCGCCAACTTTTTGGTTAGCAGATGAGAGCTTCAGGAGACACTGCCAGAATTTCTCCTGGGAAGGCATAGTAACTCTGCATTCATTACCAAACAAGGAGAAAAGCCTATTCTTCCCAAGGTTGCCATTTCTAGTGCCAGGTTATTATTTATTCATTCATTCATTCATTCATAGCATAAATACATTTCTGTCTCCTATTGTGGACTTTCTGTGATTTATTTTTTATTGCTTTTGTGTTGTTCTTTCACATGCTTTACTCATTATAATCTTCGTTTGGATTTCCTAGTTTTTCCCCTTTCCTCATTCTCAGAGCAAGACATTTTCCCCTTGAGGCCACAGGGTAAAATGAAATGTGAAATAAATTGTCATGG